ACGTGAGCAATATATCATTTAAGTGAAAACTTTGTGTAAAAAAAAAAAATCTTCCGTGGACTCAACATGCCTCTCAGCAAATTCCTTGGGGTGTCTAATTTCCAAAAAGGGGTCATTTGGGGGGGGGGTTGTACTGCCCTTGCATTTTAACACCTCAAGAAATGTAATAAGCAGTCAGAAAGTTAAAGCTGCGTAAATTCCAGTGTATATACCATAGTTTGTAGAATCTATAACTTTCACACAAACCAATTAATATACACGTATTGGGTTTTTTTTTTTTTTTACCAAAGACATGAAGCAGAATACATTTTGGCCTAAATTTATGACTAACTTTGTGTTTATTAGATATTATTTATAACCCAAAGTAGAAAACATCTTTTTTAAAATTTCTGGTCCTTTTTCATTTATATCACCAAAAATAAAAGACCCAGTGGTTTTCAAATACCACCAAAAGAAAGCTCTATTTGTGTGAAAAAAGGACATAAACTTTGTCCGGGTACATTGTTGCATGACCGCGCAATTAGTTAAAATAGTGCAGTGCTGAATAGCAAAAAATAGCCTGGTCAGGAAGGGGGTAAATGTTTAGGAGGGAAAGTGGTTAATAATGTGTACTATTTTTGTTCTTGTTGTAGGCACTGCACAACTTTAATTGTGATGTAAAATAACTAGTAGAAACTACTTTTTTTTCTACTTCTTTCTTTTATAGGGATGTAAATATATTTCTTTTATGAATCTATTGAGAATGTGGTTGGGACCTCAAGTCAAGCACCCCGACTGATTTTACACAACTTCTCAGTTAAATAAGCCCTGCTGACAAAGGGAAATGTAATACTGTAACAACAAACCCACACTTTTCCTATCCTTTATAGCCAAGAAATCTGCCATCCTAGCTTCTGTTTGATTTTTAGTTGCCATTATGCTGTATATGTGATCAGTTATGACACCAGATATTTGGTGGTATGACAGCTTGGTTGAAAACACAAGCAACTGTGACAGTTAGTATTCATGGCCTTAAGGGTAAATGTTTTGGGAATTAGATTGATGGATTTAGTTCTGCCATAAGTGGCACATTCTTTGATACTCTTATTGTAGTCGTGTTGCAACGGCAGTGCAATTTCCTCCCTCATATTTTTATATTATGCAAAGAAGTGACCTTCCTGAAAGCTATATAAATGTTGGAAATCAATGATATTCCATTATCTGCATTGCTATTGCTATTTGTTTATGAGCAACTCTGTACACACATTTCTGCAAGTGGACTGCTTTTGGGTTTACTTGAATGAAACTATTTGAAGGAAACAGGTGAGGTTTTTATTGTATGTTCAATTTAGTATGTAAGAAAAACAAACAAAAAATTAAAATAAAAACTAGGGCTGCAACTAACGATTATTTTCATAATCAATTAGTTGGCTGTCGATTGTTTCAATTAATTGGATAAAAAGCTCAAAAAAAGTTTGGTGCATAGTAAAGTTAATACAGCATGTAAAGTAATTTATTCTTAAATATCTATATGCAGTGGTAAACATAAATAACCATCTATATGGTTAGGAAACAAAATATCCAACCCACTCTAAGAATAACAGACATAAGAGATGTATTTATTATTAGGATATTGAATCTGGTACATACCATCAGACTCAGGGATCAAAATTTTTATTTAAAAGAACATTTTTTTTAAAAAAGACCTAAAACATTAGTTTTGCAGATTTTCAGACTGCATATTATGTATGACAGACTGCCTTGGGATAGGCAGGTAACTTGATACAAGCTACCTGCGCCTGTTGTCACTTATGCTGGCCATACACTAACACATTTTTTGTAAAAAAAAAACATTTGTTTTAAAAACATTGGTTCAATTTTTTTATAGTTACTGGGATCAAATTGATGTTATTTTCAACCACGAAAATTTGAAGGAGCAGAATAGAAATCTTTCATTGTAATGCCTTATATTACCTCGAGTCCATCAGCTTCTCTGGATTCAGATGCTGATCTTCGCTGCACAGAGCTCTGTACTGAGCTGTAGGTGTGCTACACTGTATTTTCTGATATGTAAACAAATAATGCATTCTTTATGCATGCCAACTAATCGACTGACCAACTAATCGATTATGTCTGATTTAAAACAACTTCTTTAAAATATCTGAGAATATGAGCGAGATGATCAGCAATTGCAGACCACTTTTTTTACCTTTGTCATCCTAAAAAAATATTACCAACATAAGACAATTTACAGATTTTTTTTTTTCATCTGCAGAGGTGCGCGAAACAAAAACCCGATTAGTCTACAAAAAAAAGGTGCAAGTGCAAAAACACCAAACACAAACAAGTGCACTTAGGGGTGTGCTTTTAGTCAACCCCCCAAAGGGGTAAGACCTCTACCTTGATCCCCCGGGGCACAAGGCTTCTGACAGGGACAATGGTTTCCAACATGGTACACATAGCCAAAAGGCCTGGCGGACCCCATTCCTTGTGATGACCTAAAGCCAACCACCAAGTAGTTGGTCGAGGGGCTCTCCTAAAGAGAAACCCCCCCCAAGGATTGGGGGAGGAAGGAACCTGAGGGCCACACATCCTCCCCCTAGACATCAGGGCAGGACAAAAGGACCAACACCCTCCATCCAGTGAGGAAAAAAACACACACAAAATTGACAAAGTGACAAACAGTGGAGAAAAATAAATAAATAAATGGCCTTGCAATTGTGCACTGGCTAGGTCCTGAGGCCCATAGTAAAAAAAACTGCCCTGGATTTAGCCAAAAGGCCTAGCCCTAAAAGGCGCAGTGCAGAAAAATGTGTTTAGAACAGTGACCATGTGCACTTTTCACACGAGGGATCCCACCCCCATGTGTTACTAAGAGCACCCCTGGGGTGACCACTCCCAGAGGGCACTGTTCCGTGGACTCTCTGCCTCCCCGACCCCTGGCCAGACAAGGTAGACCCATTCAGATCAGGAGTAACTGAGCCCCTCCAGTGTTCATAGGCCACAAAAGCCTGTGGGTGCCTCGGTTTTTGTTCCAGCTGGCACTAGCCTTCAAAGCCCCCATCATACCAGCAGGAGTATTATACAGCCAGCCATCTTCACCAGAAGGCAAGAATGATGCTGAAGCACCACTACTGGACACTGATAAGAACAGATACTACACATGATGTTAGCCAAAAAAAATAAAATCAGTGACCAATATAGCCACCCTTCTTTTCAACAACAGTCATAAGCCATCCATTCATCCAAACCATTGGTAACACAAACTCCTGCAGCGCCTGAAGGTCCCCTTCCTCAAGAAGGCACATGTACAGGCCCATCTGAAGTATGTCAATGAACATCTAAATGATTCGAAAAAGGATTCGGAGAAATTGCTGTGGTCAGGTGAGACCAAAATTGAGTTCTTTGGCATTAACTCGACTCACCATGTTTGGAGGAAGAATAATGCTGACTATGACCCTATGCTTTGGCACTTTTTCTCTGCTAAAAGTACAGGCCGACTTTGGCGCATTGAGGAGCCAATGGACGGGGCCATGTATTGTAAAATCTTGGATGAGAACCTTCTTCCCTTAGCCAGAATACTGAAGAAGGGTCATGGATGGGTCTTCCAGCATGACAATGACCCAAAAGATACCACCAAGGCAACAAAGGAGTGGGTCAAAAAGAAGCACATTAAGGTCTTCGAGTGGCCTAGCCAATCTCCAGACCTTAATGCTATAGAAAATTTATGGGGGGACCTGAAATTTCGAGTTGCCAAGCGGCAGCCAAGAAACCTTAAGGATTTAAAGAAGATCTGTAAAGAAAAGTGGAGCAAAGTCCCTCCTGAGATGTGTGCAAACCTGGTAACCAGCTACAAGAAACATCTTACCTCTGTGCTTGCCAACAAGGGTTTCTCCAACAAGTAGCAACTCATGTTTTCCTTGGGGATCAAATACTTATTTTACTCACTGAACTGCAACTGAGATTATAACATTTGTTTCATGTGTTTTTCTGGATTTTTTGTTGATATTCTGTCTCTATTATTTAAAATACACCTAGGATATATAGACCATTCATTTGGGCAAACTTACAAAATCTGCAGGGGATATTCATATATATTAATTTATATATAAGAAGTTTCCAAGCAAAATTTAATAACAATTATAACATATAGTGGGGTAGGACTATAAAGAGAAGAAGTATGAGTCTTCAAATTGGCTTTAAAGTTAAGTTGTTATGAAAAAAGTATAGAGGCTGCCATTGCTGGCCCTCTTTTGAATATGCTAGTTGCCTGCTATTTCAGACTTTAGTATCACAGACCAGAAGCAAGCATGCTGTAATCAAGTGTTGGAAATACCTATCTCTAGTTATTCTGGGCTAAAGACTCAGAATGCATTGAAGCAAGCAGGAAATTTGCATTCTCAAAAGGAGAGGTTGGCAATGGCATTACCCATACCTTTCTCATGACAAAGTCACTTTAGGCTACTGACTGGAACATATATGCAGATAAGGACTTTTGACTTCTCTCCAATTCCTCGATCTTCATACATACGTCAGGTCAGTGACTCAATGTCCTGGATCTAGTGGCTCAGCATACCATCGAAGAAAACAGCATTTTCAGAAGAAGATCAGTAGTGGCAACTTCCTATTCCTCTCATGTCAGGTTTGGTTTAATATGAAACTACTCCCATAAAGCTAGCTACAGTTACAATGTAGTCAGGATTAGATCTATTATAGACCCAAAGAACACAGAAATATACTAGGATATGCCTATTGGAATATTGCTTGTGGGTTTTCCATCAGTACAGGCAGCAGGTAAAGCAACATGACAGATAAATATTAAGGCTTACACCAATAGCCATGTGAGACACAGATTCATGGTTTTATTATCTCACAACATACACAAAAAATATACTCATGCTAAATCATGTACATATTGTTTTATATGCATGTACATTGAAGGTTTTTTTTCCTTTGAGCACTAAATCAATATTAAAAAACAAGATATCTGGCTTCAAATAAGGATCCTATCTTGGTCCCTTTCAGTCCGAGTCACTGCTGCTAGATCCACTTCCATGCTGCAATAGAGAAAGTAAATAGTTTATCTTTAGATGAGAACTTCACTTTAGCCTTATGTTTTATACAACATAAAAATATATAAACACTATACCAGCCAATTTATAATTGAATGCCCACCTTTGGCATATGAGGCCCCAGGAGCGGTGTTGAACATAAAAACAGTTCTGGCTGCAATCCTGTCTCCTTCTTCAGTATTGTCCTCTGCAGTAACTGCTTTCCGCAGCTAAATGTTCTCTGTCTTCTGGGTTAAATGGTGCCCAGCATCATTTAACCCAGAATTCTGTGACTGCAGGGCATCAAGAACTTTCCCCCTGTATTCACATGCAATGATGTGGATCAATGGTACTGATATCATCATGCTAGTTCCATTTTCTGCATCACATCCAGCCTTTTTTGGCTGTCTCTATCCACCCCCCCCCCCCCCCCATTGCAAGGAAAAAAGAAAGGAGACCCTGCAGAAAACATGACCATCCTCTCAAGACATCTAAATGTTAGGAATTGAATGTTCTGCTTGCAGGTTTAATGTAAAAAAAACTTTTACTAAGCTGACTATACAGCCTCCTTCATATTTACCATCAACTATGTAGTGCAAGGGCCTTCCTGAGCGGATACAAATTAAAATAAATTGTTTAGGATAGTCCTCATGCTACATACCTTTGGTAAATGTAAATGTGATCGTACAGATATTGTACAATAGGATTGCAATATGTATTGCCTTCCTTAAGGAGATGGTATAGAGATTGTACAATCTCCCTTGCACAGCCATGCACTGGGAAGACTAGTGTGCTGCTGTTTCTTATCCTCCATCTCTATACGTAGCTGAGAACAGAGGGTATGTGATCACTTATATAAAAGGGGAAAAAAAAGGTATTTATCATTTTTTTTTTTAATGTGTATACACAATTTTTTTACCTTTCATTTTTATTTTAAACTAGATGGGTTGTTTGACAATTTGAGGGTTTACATATACTTTGGAATGGAACTGAAATTATTACTTCTTCATCAGGTGAGCACCACTCAGTCCCAAACTGTGTCCCATTCCCTGCCACCACCAAGAAAAAAGAGAAGTGACCTGTGACCAGCTACAGTATATAACAGCAGGGAAAAGGTAAAGTATATATAGGGGAGTTTTGTAAAAAAAAAAAAAAAAGAAAAGTTCTGCATGGGCTGTCATGGCACCCCAGCTATTCTCTGTTAGCTAGGATAGTTGTAGTTCCACTTTAATGTCCTGTTTTAATAACTGCACAGCAGATTCAGGTAAGAATCTAAACCAGTGGTGGGGCAAATAAATTTTCCAAGCGGCCATATAATAAAGTGTGACCGTTGTGGAGGGCCAAACTTAAAGTGGTTCTAAAGGCTCCAGGTTTTTACCTTTGTGCATGCTATAGGTAAAAAAACCTTGTGTGTAGCAGCCCTCCCTAATACATACCTGAGTCCTGTCCTGATCCAGCGATGTCCACAAGAGCCTCGGTTCTATAGGGCCTCTCACTCCTGATTGGCTGAGGCAGCAGTGGGAGCCAATCAGGAGAGCGAGAGGGGCAGGGTCGAGCTGTGGCTCTGTGTGTGAATGGAGATGCAGAGCCACAGCACGGGAGCACGCCTGCTCGGCTGTCCCCATAGCAAGCTGCTTACTGTGGGGGCACCCGACAAGAGGAAGGGGCCAGGAGTGCCGGCGGGGGGGACCCGTGAAAAGGAGGATCGGGGCTGCTCTGTACAAAACCACTGCACAGAGCAGTTTAGTATAGACATCTTTGTTATTTAAAGAAAACAAAAACAAGACAACAAGACTTTAGTATCACTTTAAAGTGGTTCTAAAGCCTTAGGGTTTTTTACCTTAATCAAATCTATGCATTAAGGTAAAAAAAACCTTCTGTGCTGCCTGTGTCCCCCCAGCCCCCTTATACTTACCTGAGCCTGATCCCGATCCAGCAATGTGCACCAGAGCAGCAGCTCTCATCGCTCTCATCCTTCTCACTGGACAGATTGATTGTTATCAATCAAACTCTGTGGTGGGGAACGGAGTCTAGCCACAATTTCTGTGTCAATGGATGCAGACAAGGTGGCTCAGGAATGAGCCCACAAGAGTGCCCCTCTAGGAAGCAGCTTCCTATGGTGGCACTCGCTGAAGAGGGGGAGCTAGAAGTGCCTGTGAGAGACCCTAGAAAAGGAGAATCAAGACTGCCCTGTGCAAACCCATTGCACAAAGCAAGCAAGTATGACATGTTTATTATTTTAATGCAAAAGAACTGAAGCTTTAATGTTACTTTAATTCTGCTCAGTATTAATTTTGCACTAGGAATGTAAATAAACTTATAGAAAACAAACTACATGCACTAGGAATAATAGGTACAACTGCTCATGAAATTGGTCTCCCTCAGATGGACAGTCAGGGGTGGTAACAACGGGCAGCTGAGCCATAGTTTACCCACCCAGACTGTAAAATAACAACCAGCCAGGACTGTTCACATGCCACAGGCACAGCATTTTTATCTTGGGCTGCAGAGTTTACTAAAGCGGCACCTTGTCAAACTTGCCCACTCAGTTCAATAGTGATGCAAGACTGCACAATGCCCTTGATTGCAGCACAGTAGTGCGGCATTATATGATTAAACCAGGCAGCAAGGAGGCGATATAACACCTTCTCACTGCCTATCAAATGCCCTCTGAAAATCCCTCATCCCCTAACAAACACCTACCAAAGCATCAGTTATTGATGTCACAGGGTTTAGGGCCAATTCACAGCAGTGCGCTGAACTGCATTTTAGTGCAGCTGTAAAACATAGATCAATGGAAGGACATCTGAAAAACAATAATTTCCAATGTGTCCTATTTACACCATAACACTGCGTTGATCTGCGTTGCACTAAAATGCAACATGTATGTATTTTAGCACAACGCAATGGATGTAAGCAGATGCAAGCGGATGTAAGCGGTTATCAACGCAATGCACAGGATATACTGTGAAAATGCAGTTTGCTTTAATGCATGTTAACAGACATCAAACTGTATGTCAACGGGCGTCAAAATGGATGCCAGCATGGAAATAAAATGGAAGGAAATGTACATTTTAGTGCATGTTAGTGTGAATTGGCCCTCAAACTGATTGCATAGAAGTCCTTTTTTCCCTTGTCAGTTTTTGAAACTATATTGGAGGCAGAGATACAGCCTACGGGCTAGGTCTATATGGGAAAACATAAGTCTGATGACCAAGCTGGGATCAATTCTACAAATTCCTGAACCATACTGATATTTATTTATCACAAGTTTGTAATATTTGCACAATAAGGGCATTGATTTGATAATTCAGATTTGTTAGATTTGTTAATGTGGTTTATAGGAGTTCTACAATCTCTCTACAATATAATTCCTGAACTGCTAAATAGATCACATGCCTGAGCCCTGATATAAGAATACTACAATAAATAAAGAGATATTATATGTTATCATAGATGCTTCGGATTATACAGATTTGTATAAAATTTAAAAATGTGCAGTTCTCTTTGATTGACATTAATCTCTTTGCTTTATTTTCTATGTACATATTCGTAATTGATTCCACACACAAACGCAGCTATTGTTAAGAGTTTAAAATCTCAGCCTTTTTTTTTTTTTTTTTTTTTAAAGAGAACACTAATTTTTTTTTCTTAATGTTTTAGATCTACAATAGAAAAATTGTCCATTCATAAAGTGTAATTTTTAAATCTAAACAGTATGAATAGCTTCTATGTGACATTACTGTGATAAGTGATGTAAAATACATATATACAGCACAGTATTTAGAGCACATCACAAACCCAGAGTTCTGGGCTTGTGACAGTGGCAACCTCCTGGCTACCTTGTTGTTGTGTTTATCTGTCTTACCTGTCATTGGATTTCTCATTGCTGACTGTTTGGAAAATGTACCATATAATTCTCCATACAGAATGGAGCAGTCTCTAGTATAATGCAGACGCATTTTGATTTTTGATGTTTGCCTATCAAGAAAAACTGTATGCTTGAAATAGTTCTAGTTGCAGTCAGAATTTGCTGTGTATTTGGGGACAGATCAGTGTTATACTGCAATTGATAGGATATTGGGCTGTAGGCAATAAGCAGCAAATCGTGTTTTGGCTGAATGTAGTCACTTGGCTTTCTCTTTAAGTCAACTAGTATGCATGAATGAAATGTTTGTTTTTATACTACATTGTGGAATAAATCACAGTATAGTCTCATGTAAGATGGAAATACTTACTTTTCCATGCCCATGGCCATGATGACCGTGTCCGTGTCCGTGTCCATGTCCATGTCCATGGTGTTTATGTTTTTTGTGCTTATCGTGTTGATGATGCCCTCCAGTTGGGTAACAACCGCCTGGATTTCCTGTAGGGTACTGAGGAGGGCACCCAGGGGCTCCATGCCCATGATGTCCTGGTTGATATGAAGGAGGAGCGCACCCTCCTGGATATCCACCAGGTGGAGGAGGCTGAGCAGGTCCAGGGTATCCCGGATTTACGCAAGGAGGATATTGACCTGGATAAGGCCCTTGTTGGGGAGGACAGCCAGGGGCTGGATATCCGGGCTGTCCATATGGTGTTCCTAAAACAGACAATAAGGAAACTTTTCTCAGTTGACACCTTGAAGACATGGATTCCAGCCCCAGTCGGAAGACTGGCAGCAGATGCATATAGTGGGGGAACCCACCATGTTCCTCTATAAACAAAACATTTTTTTTACGTTTGTTAAAGAATAAGTTCACCTTAGAAAAAAAATTATGGGTATATTTTTTGGCAGCCCAACCTTAGCATCTTGCAAGTTGGGAAAGTGGCGACTTGCACACATTTTTATATATATATACTTAGTTCTTAATTTCATAGTGGTAACCGTCTGCTGGCTTTGGATTTCACTTTCCCACCTTTTAACGAATTTACCTACCCCAAATTATATTTGATATAAAAGGTCTGACAGGCTACCAAGAGAATATTGGGTATCTCAGGGTATACTAGATTCACACTGTTATGGTCCAATAGAGCATTTTATGAAATTTCACAAATGGAAAGATTTTCCAGATGGGAATGGGTAGGAATTACTACCCTGATACAACTGTACACTGATGGAGTATTGAATACGTATCAACAACTCTGCACTGACTACAATTTAGATCAGAAATAGTTTTTCCGATATATACAATTAAGACACACCTTGAAGACTCAAGGTCTGGCCCCAACTGTTTCTTTTTCTCCTGTCCCTATCTTGGATAGTATAGTCTGAGCAAGGGTCTTACTAATAGGGTATATACACAGTTGCTATCTGAACTGCTTTATAATTTTATTATTCCATGTAGGCAAAGATGGGAGACAGATATTGATGTGACCTTAGGGGGCATATGGGACCAAATATTACAGAATGTACAGCTGGTTTCAATATCTCCTTTTCATAGAGTGACCCAACTTTTTATTCTGTACGGGGTTTTTTATGTACTGACATGTATAATTGATGATATTGCTTTGTGAGGTATTTTGATCTTTGTCGGAATGTTTTCTTTTGCCATTTCTTTTGTTTATCTGTTATAACAACTTTAAAAATTAAAATCTGATTAAAAAAAACCAATTATAATAAATGCCAATGTTTTCTTCAGGTAACAAAAATATGCACTTACTATTTTTTCTTAGGAGCCTGTAAAGCATTGAACCCATGATCAGCATGAGTGCAATTTCAGGCTCCTGCAGACTGTCATTAGACATGTCTGCCTGTACTGTCCATATGGACAGACAGTTACTGAAGTCCAGGAAGATCAATGAACTATGAGAGCACTCACCAGAGCCCTAGAAGTCCATTGATAACTACAAGCCATTTGCCGCAATGGAAGATAGTACTTGTAGTCTATTTATTTACAGAACACTGCAAATGAATGAAGAGGCCCTGTGGGCGGAGCCCTGCACTGTATTTGAATTGTGACAAAGCATGTAGGGAGAAGATCCTCCACCTGGTGTCACAATGGGTGATCAATCAGGTCGGGGTACCGGCAGGTGCTATATTAACATGGTATACCCTGAATATGCGTGTAACTTGTTACTAAAGGTGAACTTATCCTTAAAAACAACTTATACATTTTGTGATTCTTCATTGACTATGGCTAAACAATGTAATATGGTAAAGGTCTACATTACAATGAGAACTAAAAGGATAGTTGTCGTCGTTTGTGTGCTTTCTTCTGCAGCATTTGACGCGCCTCTTAAAACGCACGTCAAACACAGGGTGGCAGCTTACCATATACTTCCATAGTGCAGTGTGGATGAAATTTTATTTGACCTGTTTTGAGTTTTTTTGAGCACAGTATGTTTGCATTGCAGTGAAAGCAGGTCAGGTACAGCCCTTTTCTGTGTTTTGCATTTGAATGCATGCTTTAGAGCAGTGTTATTGCTTTTGATTGCAATTCCTGTGTATACAAGCTCCAACAGCTGTAACAGGATAAATGATCTCAAGACAAATGTAATTTTCCAATCTGCCCTACAAAAAAAAACAACCCCCTGATTTGAATTTCCTGCAATTGCTATATAGACAACTCAGTGGGGAAGATTTACTAAAACTGATGCTCACAGAATAGGGTGCAGCTATGCATAGAAGCCAATCAGCTTCCAGGTTTTATTGCCAAAGCTTAATTGAACAAGCTGAAGTTAGAAGCTGATTGGTTACTATGTACAGCTGCAGCAGATTCTGTGTTCTCCCGTTTTAGTAAATCTCCCCAACATCTTCTTGATTTATTGATGAGATACTGTAGCAGTGATAAAACTATTTCAATTACTGTTATTGCTACAAGAATAATATCCATTTTACCTACAAGGTTATAGCTAAAGGCACAACACAGGAGGCTGGTGAGTGCAGAACTGAAATGAGGCTATAAAGTTACCAGTCAAGTGTCAGTAAACAGCTGATCAAATGATCAGAAAACAGCTACAGAGGAGTATGAAATTAGTTCTTAGCAGGGATGTAAATAAGGGGGGGTTAGGGGGGTTCAAATCCCCCTCTCCCCTCCTCCAAGAGCATCCTGCCAAAAAAATGAAATGCAACTGTCCTGACTACCTGGCCTGCTGAAGCACAGCAGTCATGGCCGAGTCAGTGTAACTGGTGTGTGTAAATTATAGACTGGCACTTGCTAGCCTTACCTTGGTTTGGATTCCACATGATAGTAGATCTGGCAAAATAAAAATAAATACAAGATTACCTTAAAAAGAAATTAGAATCATGTTCACCACCAAAAAAACAACTTTATTTAAAGTGATATTAAAGGCGTTTTTTTTTTTAACTAACAAACATGTTTTACTTACCTGCTCTGTGCAGTGGTTTTGCAATTTTCCAATTCTCCACTTTTTGGGTCCCCCAATAGCATTCCTGGCCCTTCCTGCCTGCTGACTGCCCCCAGAGCAAGCAGCTTGCTATAGGGGCACCTAAGTAGGCTCCCTAGCCACTGCTCTTTATGTCCATGCAGCCCTGCCCCCCTCTTCTCCTCCTTGGCTCACTGGCTGTGATTGACAGGAGTAGGAGCCAATGGCTCCCACTGCTGTCTCAGTCAATGAGGGAGAGTATCCAGACAGCCATGGTTTTCGCACACATTTCAGGATCGCGATGAAGCTCAGGTAAGTATTAGAGGGGGCTGGGGGCACCCCTTCATGAATAGAAGGCATGAAGGTAAAAACATTGAGCCTTTACAACCACTTTAAAGTATAACTATTTGTTTGTTTTGGATAGAGTAGATTGATTAGAACATTTGTCAGGTTTTTATTGCTATCTGTGTTCTGTGAGGGCGATTCACCCTCTCTATTTGTCCTGCTTGCTGTTGTCACCCAGAGTGAAAGTGATAGAAAATCCTACATTTTGGGTTGTCACCAGAACAGAAATAGAGGGTGAATCTTACAATGGGGAAATTATTTCTGGTGACAACCAGGGATTCCCTCACTTCGGAGGGTTTGATTTTCATTTCCATTTTTGCTATGGGGCAGGAAGTGAAGTGAAATCTCCCCAATGGGACACAGATGAGAAAAAGAAGCTGACGGGGGTAATAATAACCCTCCTCCCTTACTCTAACCAAACTGAAAAAACTACCTTTAGTTCTACTTTAATTTCTCTACATTTCTATTTTCTGTGCCCCTTCACAGAGGCCTTTAATGAGATTTACACAGAAAATGCAACTCAACACTGAAAGAAACAAGAGCTCAGAATTATGCAACAAGAAACTTTGAAAGAAAGGCAGCTGGTAGGACGATAAATTATTAAACAAGATTACACTAGCTATGCTAATCCAGCTTGTTAGGCAAAAAGCTACAGCAATATGTATGCAAGGGTCTCAGTTTAACTACAGGGAGGAATATGTTACCAGCATAGCTTGGTAAATTTTCACAACAGACTTAGTGCACTAACAAAGTATTATACAACATTATGGGGCCCCTTCATCAAAGTAATAGTGGTAACAGATTAACAAAATTGTACATTTACAAAGATGAGGTAGTGACATATGTGTATGTGTCCCCTCCCTCCTAGATTGTAAACTCCAAGGAGCAGGGCCCTCGAACCCCTGGTGTATTGTATTGTTACTGTACTGTCTCGTGTACTGTCTCCCATTATAATGTACAGCTCTGAGCAAACTGTTGGCGCTATATAAATATTGTATAACAATAATGTTTTACCAGCCTCATTCTTCTGGTGGAACTTGGCATTGGTGGGCCAGTGCCTAGATATGCAAGATCAGAGACTGCAACACTAAGCCTCAGCATGTACAAATTGTGATGACTTTTTCCTCATTTTGTCTCTCTCCTCTGTCCACCTCTAGACATTTGTGGTTAAATTCAGCGAGAGTACCATGAGGCAAGCGGAGTGCAGGGTACATTGAAAGGATCACCAAGTAGAAAATAAATAACAATTGCAGCACTAATCAAAAAATAGAAAAAAAGTTCCAGTTAAAAAGCCCCAAATTCAATTCCCATGATCCACCATCACCAGGCTGTGGTAATGGTGGATCGTGGGAATTGCATTGCGGACGTTTTAACTGGAACTTTTTTTGATTAATTGGACTTTATGTTTTTTATGTTTTTTGATTAGCGCTGCAATTTTTATTTATTTTCTATTATGTATATTGCCTGATATGCAAGCTGCTTTTCTACGATTTTTTTTATTTTTTTTATTGTCACATGATTAGTATATTACCCAAGTGCAGGTTAATTGTTTCTGACAACTGTAAAGTAGTTGTGCAGACCCCATTCTGTCTCCAGCAACACAATCTAAATATTCTTACTAAAATAATAAAATTATATATTGGGTAGGGCGTGTACAAAGAGCACTCATTATTCAGGGCATAATGATGTATTGTTGTCTATGGAACATTGCACACAGATGAGTAAAGATCAGTAAATTATGACGCCCATGTGCAAGGGGCCTAATAATTATGCTCCCAAAATTAGTGTGTGTTGTAAATTGTCTGTTTCATCTTGCTGGGGGTGGCTGCCATTTTGTTGAAGCCCACAGCAGTCACTTCCTTATTGGGAACTTTCCCCCTCTCCTTCGTCTCGAAAACTATATGTCACTTTCTGCTATTAAAATATGTTAATTTCTAGCCTTAAAGTGTTACTAAGCCCATGACCCTGCATTCACTATATCTGATCTCCCACAGTACACACAACATGGAAATACAATTATTTTAGTAAATATAAACTGCTAAATACCTTTTCTCATCAGCAGTTAGAGCAGTCTTATGACTTCAGCAGAGCACCGGTAATAGCTTGTAGGAGGAGTTTTCTTTCTACTCTAGGAGGATGTGAAACCCCTGACCTCTGTTTGGACAGTGTGGATTGGCCCTGTGCTGATCACATGCACCCTCCCAAGAAAAAAAAAAAAAAAAAGCCTCTCTAGCAATACACACTAAACTGAGCATGCGCATGTGACTATGGATTCAGTCTGTATCAGGAGAACATTTCAACAAGAGGAGGGGCAGAGAATAATGGATATAAAACAGCCTTTTTACACAATGCAGAGGATTAACCCCTTAGGTTCCACAGTGAGTATAACAAGCATGCTTTACTGCATATACAGACTGATGTTACTGTTGTGGGTTTAGTAACACTTTAATTGTATGTATTGACTTGGATAGAGGGGAAGGCTGAGAGACGCTACAGTGCTGATATTCACAGACTGCCCATGAGGTCAAAAGGAGATAAGAAAAGACACTATCCTTGTATATTTAACTATTTTGTGCCTCCCTAGCAGCACCTGTCACCTCTCCTGCTTTTCTTTTCTCCCTCTCTAATCTGTGTTCGCTCTGCACAGTCTCCATCATTCCTGTTGCTTTCTTCAGAAACAGTAAACCTTAAAGATTTCAGTGGATCGGCCTCTAGTGGCTCTGAATTTAGGCACAGTGCCGAGAATAGAGAGCAACAGAGCATGTGCAGAGTAGGGTGAGACACATTTTAACAGAATAGGCACTTATTTTTAAGGTTTTTTCATACTGTAGCTATACCTGCAAATGGGGCCAGGCTGAAGTGACCTATCAGGACCTAATTTTCTTACTAACGTTCTGCTTTAAGCAAAATGTAGGTTTCATCACACAGATCTCTTGCCAAACCTGTTTATTCAAAGGCTGCTCCACTCCCTTGGAATGTACTATACCATCCAAACAGTGCCTTAGTCTAAGTGTTTGACCCGCACCATCCCCAAACATGAAATGCAGGTAGACAGGTAACATTAACCCTACTTTATTTAGGCGTGGGTTCTGTTATACAGAATGTTGTCTATCAGGTCAGATCAAATACAGATGATTTAAGGAAAAGAAAATATTATGCGTAATGAAGTATATATTTTTTGCTATTATTAATGCATCTTTGAAATTAATATGGCTCTTCTGAAGCACACTGGTAATTCATATCAGGTCAAGACTGCTGGAAATATCATTCATATATACTGCTTGAAAGCAAAGCAAACAGGTTACCTTAGATCATATATCACTGTACCTGAACACGGGGAATTTGCATAGTCATAGTTTGAACAGCTTTGAATATCTGTGAATAAATATGCAGCACAGCCCTGCACACTATACCTATAAACAATGAGGGGGAATTTATTAAACCTGGAGCAACCAGAATCTGGAGCAGTTGTGTAGGGCAACTAGTCAGTTTCTATCTTTCATTTTTTATTAATTTTCTGTATTATAATAATAATAATCAGGGGTGTATTTACCACAAGGCAAACAAGGCACTTGCCTAGGGCAGCATTTGTCAGGGGGGCAGCAGCTTTTTTCAGGGGGGCAGCGCTGTCCCCCGAATGAAGGAAAGGAAGAAGGAACACACATAGCATGGGGCAAGGTGGGATCTGAGAAAGGCTGCGGGCTACTTGATGGTGTATGCAGAGCCTGACTCTTGTTCCTGGGGATGTCCGGAGAGTGTCTTATCTCTTGCCGGGGGGGGGGGGGGGGTTGCCAGTGTATGGGGGGAGGTGGTAGTAGAAGGTTCTCTTGGGTGGGGGGGGCTAGGGTGTTATTGGTCAATGGGGGAGACAATTTTTGTATTGCCTAGGGCAGCACGAAACCTATATATACCACTGATAATAATAATAATAAAAAAAAAAGCTTAAAGCAGAATTTCAGCCAAAAGGGGAAAGTTTCACTTATTTGCTTCCTCCTCCCTCCACTAGCACACTTGGCACTTTTTGGGGTGGAGGGGAGAGCAAGTACCTGGTTTTTACAGGTACCCGCTCCCACTTCTAGTCAGATGCGCCGCGGCGATCTGAGACGGAAGTTTGGCCCCTTCTCCTTCCCTTCAGCCTTCTGGGACACTTCACAGGTCACAGGTCCCAGAAGAGTGCGGGACCATGCACAAAGTGCAGCATGCTTTGCGCATGCACAGTAAGAATGCGGCTCTAAAGCCGCAAGGCTTCACTGCCAGTTTCCCTTACCCAGGATGCCGACTCCTGCACCTGCAGCTGATTGAGGAATGGGATCGGGTGAGGGCATCGCTGGATCCCTGGACAGGTAAGTGTCCTTATATTAAAAGTCAGCAGCTACTGTATTTGTAGCAGCTGCCTTTTAATTTCTTGGGGGAAGCCTGGAGTTCCACTTTAACTGAAAAAGCTGAATATAGAAGCTGATTGGTTACCATGCACAGCTGCTCCAGAATCTGACTTCTCCAGTTTTGATATATTTAACCCTCCCCTCC